TGGGTGGGCCTCTGCAGCCGGTGCACAGTGGGCCAATTGTGTCATTGTTTCTCTGTGTCATGGTAGTTCTCAATTGAGCGGTGGCGGCCAGCCTAAGGACTGGGGCGCAACAGTGCTCACCACCACGTGGCTTCCCGTGCGCCGGGGGGGCCTTCCTTCTGGGAGCCTACAAGGCAGGGAGCTGGCCTGAACACCAGCACTCCCCGCCCCGTCGGTAGTCTTCTCTTATGAGTGTCTTCAGTTGCACTGCCCTGGCTGCAATGTTCTGAATGTTCTGAATCAATTCAAAATGTTTCCTTCCCGTGGTCATTTTGACTTTGTGGAACAGCCAGAAGTTGCATGGTGCCAGATCCACTGAATGAGGTGGATAAGTACACAAGGTAATGTTTTTATAAGCCCACCTGTCTATTAGATGGCACTTGGTGACAGCACTCACTGTGTTTTTTAATCACGTCTCATAAAGATATTCATGCTATGACTGTACCTGACCATGTGGTTCAGAAGCCTTTAGAACTAGTTTGCAGGAAGACTTTGGAAAAGCAGGCTAGAGCAAGCCTAAAATTCTATAAACCACGCCTGATAGATCAGATCTCAGAAAACTGGATTGTTTTCAGGAATGCAGACAGTAAAGGCCAGGCTCATGAGGTTTAAACTGGAAATGAGGGTTCTATTATTAAGTGAACTAAAAGTCACAATTTTATCCTCTTGCAAAAACAAAAAAAATTTTTTTTGGTTTATATTTGCCCATGACCTAAGACTTTGTAGGAAGTTGCGGTTAAGAGTGGTGGACTAATTGATCTGGCATAGGAATTCCAGGGCAGCCCAACATTTAGGCTGTGGCATGGGTACTGATGGCTGCTTTAAGCTAGACTTCTAGTGAAAACTGGGAGTAAATAGCACAGTAGAATCACTTGAAAAACAAATTTAGGTCCAAAAAGAATAACACGTAAAATTGGGTCCAAAGTAAATGTGGTTGCTAAAGAGATTAGCACCATTAAAAAGACACAAATACTTTGAACAAGAACAAGAAAAAAGATGACTTAAGGACATTTTAGTAATTGGCAAGACCCAACTCATTGCAGGCTCTGCAAAAACAGAAACTTTTCATTTGAGAAGAGAGCTCCTGGGCTCATTTCCTGTTTGAGAAGGACTGCCTAGAGGACTGATTCCCTGGATTCACTTTACCATGTTTAGCTGTCCAGGCACTCAGAGGCCACTGCCACCACGATCCAAGGGGCCCTGGCTCCTATTCATGCTAGCAGCAGACCTTGGCATTATACAATTGAGGCTGTTTTTACCATCATGCAGAATGTAAGAGCTGTGGGGTCATAGAGGCTTCCATCCAAATTTCAAATGAAGCCTGGGAGACCAGGTGAAGAGCCCCTGAGAGAGCAGTTCACGGATGGGTGAGAATGAAGCTAAAAGTGCAGCGGGTACCCCAGGAAGTAGGAGGTGCCAGGCACGTAGGGCATCTGCTAAGGAAAGCCACAGGTAGTGAGTGCAGCCAGCTCAAGAGAGAGGCAACTAGCAAGAGCACAGCGGTGGGGCCGCCTGAGCCCTTTGGGACTCACATCTCACCACCATGTGCCTTGGATGCTGGTTATGGAACTACAGGGTTTAATATCGGCCCTGCTGGATTTCAGTCTTGGTCTAGTTCTGGTATCCACCTATTCCTTTCCTTTTAGAAAGCGAACGTTTACCCTTTGCTGTTGTACCTTGGGAGTATGTTACTTCCTTATTTTTACAGAGGTTCGTAACTAAGGGTTTATCTCGAATTTTTGAGGAGACTGACTTGGACATTTTAGCAATGCTGGGATTACTGAGACTTTGGGAAAGGGATTATCATATTTTGGTTTTATGTGGGATAGCTGTATGAAGTTAGATGAAATTGTGACCTTGTGTTTATTTAGAAATTAAGTATGGCTTCAGAACACATGTTTGGGTAACCATTGCCAAGGGGTGGGATGTGAAAGTTAAGCCAGATTGTCAAGCAGGTTGGTTTCGGAGTGCCCCTAGAGGGTTAGTAAGCATATTTCGGGATGTGTCCTGGTGGGGTTCTGGGGTATGACTTGGGGTCAATATCTGGCCCCTCACCCTTTCCCCTCTGGTGCTCTTTCTCTGCTGCTTTCCAGCTGCCGTGAACTAAGCAGCTTTGCTCCACCACTCTTCTGCCACATTGTTTCTGCCTTGGAGCCAGCTCACCATGCTCTGAATCTTGTGAAACTATGAACCAAATAAACCTCTCCTTTGAATTATTGGGGATAGGTTGTTTGTTCCAGCAACAGGAAAACTAACACATAATGTTATAATACAAAAGTCAGTCAATTGCATTTTTTCTCTTTTTAGTGGTAGTGGGGATTGAGCCCAGAGCCTTCCCAGTGAGCTACACACCCAGCTTTTTTTACTTTTTTTTTTTTATTTTTGAGACAAAAATCTCACTAAGTTTCCCAGGCAAGACTCAAACTTCCAACCCTCCTGCCCCAGACTTTCAAAGTGCTTAGGGTTACAGGTACGTGGCACCAAACCCAGCTCAATTGCTTTCTTACATTCCATAAATGAACAATTAAAACGACATTAAAAATACTATGCCATTTACTTCGGCACCAAAAAGCTAACTAAGTGCACAAAAAAAACAGGATAAACAAAATCAAAGGTGTGCATAAATGGAGGAATATCCTATGTCTGTGTACAGGGAAACTCGAATTTATTGATGTCAGTTCTTCTCAATTTGATCTGTAAATTAAACACAAACCCTATGAAAATCTCAGCAAATTGTTCTGCGGATACTGACAAATTTATCCTAAGGTTTATGTGGAAAAGCAAAAGGCTCAGAATAACCAACACAATACTGTAGGAAAACAAGTTGGAACACTGACATCTCTTGACTTCAAGACATGCTTTAAAGCAAACAGTGATTAGGACAGCGTGACTCTGGCCAAAGAACGGGTACACAGGTGCGGGGCAGAGCAGAGCGCTCAGAAGCGGACCGGCAGAGGCACGCCACGCTGGCCTGACGCATCCTGAGCACTGATCACCTTCTTAGGGATGCTACTCTGCCCTGGAGCTAACATGGGCAGCTCACACAGATGTCCCTGGCATGGACAGTGAGAGGTGCCATGCCACCTGCCTCTGGGAACTGGACACCATAGAGTCATTACGGAGAACCGCGCTTCACGATTGCTTCGAGGAACCCAGAAGCATGGAACCAGCTCTCTCAGGAAGCGAGCCCACCACCACCCACTCACTGCCCGACCCATCACAGGGAATTCCAAGGCCGGGAGAGGGGGAGGGAACTGGACCGACGAGGCTTTCTAACACCCCAGGCTTTGGGGTGGGGGCAGTTTGTTTTACTAAAGCTTAATTTCCAAGTTTGTAAAACACTAAAAAATTGGTAAACGCTGAGTGACTTTTACTCAAAGGTGCAAGTTGTAAACCTGCTGGAGGCCTGGGGGCATTGGAAGTCCACTAGATGACAGATAAATGGCAGCTCAGAGCTGTGGGTACTAGGTGACCGATCGCGGGCACAGGTGAAGGGAACAGAAGACCCGGACGGATGGTTTTAGAGGCGCACTGAGCCCAAATACCACTCAGCTCAGCAGCCGGAAGCTTTGCTGGCTGAACCCAGGTGTGCTCTGTGCGGTCCACACTCATCCAAACACTGTACTGGGAATTACTCCCGAATACAAAGTTAGGCCGCCCGTGCTGGGTCCTCCCCGGCCCAGCGCTGTCCCGGGGGTGGCCGAGGTGGCCCGCGGCCGCGAGGACCGAACAGCAGCCTGGCCTCCCGCTGAGTCCCCTTCGGCGCAGCCCAGGTCCTCTCCCGAGGTCGTCACTGGCGCAGAAACACTCCAGTTTTCTCCTCCCGCCCCCGCGCCAGCCCGCTCCACCGCCTTCGGTCGCCTATGGCTGAGGGCCTGGCGCGGTTAGGGGCGGAGCTGGGGTGGGGCGAGGGGCCTGGACCGGTGGGGACTCGAGTGGGCGGAGGTGCGGGTGCGCCCGTCGGGGCGGGGGCAGGGCGAAGCCCGGTGAGGGCTGGAGGGGAGGGTTCGGGTCCTGTCGGGGCGGCCTTGTGGGCGGGGGGCGGGG